CGCCCCTCGGCCGTCCTTTGCCGTCCGCCCCGTCGCTGGCGCCGGGCCCGCCCCCGCGCCCCCCCCCCCCCCCCCGCGCCGCCCCCCCCCCCCCCCCCCCCCCCCCCCCCCCGGGGGACAAGACATATTGTGCTGAGTACCTGGGATCCCTCAAAGTGGAATCATAGATGCTCGAATAGCTTACGAAATTGGTTGGTCTCATATAAGACGCTTTTAAGGATGAATATACTGGGTTCGTGGTATCGACGGAACCTTTCTGCACCAACGAGTGGTCACCCTAACCTTCAGCTCCTTGGAAGATGTAGATCTGCCACTCAATCCCAGTTTACATCGCCTGATGTGGCGTACGTATTTAATCAGGTAGTCTAAAAGCTCAGGGGGTGGATTAAAAAATAATAATAATAAAAGTGAGAACTATTCACTCCATATACCGAGGTTCGGACTCTCTAGCAAACATTAGATATAGAGGAGAGTAGTGGGCGCTGACAATCCTGTATAGGAATCGGGGGCTAAATAATCCACTGCTGACAGAATGACCCGAGTCGCTGCATCAGTAGGTGAGCTTGGTCTGTAGATCATAGGGGGTGTTGTATTGATATGCGCTGTGAGGCTCATGTTCGAGCGCTTCGATCCATCTAAGAAGCTGACCATTACATACATTCTCAGCGGCCGCGATTCTCGTTGCATTCCGATGCTTTCCTGGACCCCTTCGCATCCCACATCCCGACAGGTCGCGGTAAGATCCTCGCGGCTGGTCTTGATAACACTATGACAAGAATTGCATCAGCGTTCACCTGGAGGTTCTATTACCACAGTAGCTCCTTCCAGTTATGATCTAGACAATAGAATCCCAACGAGTCATACGAAAGAGTGCTCACCCGATAAATGGAATCAAATGGTCGAGATCTTTCACATGCAAGCAGCGCCCTCCATGACGTAAAGCATTCCTTCAGTGGACTGTCGTTCGCGCGAACCACCGCCTCGTCCAAGTCACCCAATTTAATGTGTGGCGCTCGGTTACAGTACTTATCAACCTAAATCTGTTGAAATGGATGGTCAAGGCATCCCATTTCCCATATTTTAGAGAATCTAATCGAAGCCTTTGGTGACCGTCCACCGGAAGTAAGCTTCTCCATTATAGGTCTATCAAGCGCTGCTACAGCGTAGAAACCAACAACTGCTTGATAGCGCACGATAATCCCTTGACTTGCGCACACATCACGTGAACTCAAACGAGACCATAGCAACATACAAACGTGCCTGGAAAGGTGTTAATGATGATGTCACATCAGAAAATATGCCATATCAATGTATTTCTATACAACCGCTCTTCGTTTGACAAATGTACAGGGCCCGTAGGCTATGGATCCCTCTGTTCGTCGCCTCACGCCTCAACATGTAGTGTGCCGTCCCAACGCTCTATGCCAGGTTTCGGAGTTTGCCTCTTAGTAGTATTGAGGCTTGACGTAGTCGGCAAAGGTCTTGGGCTCCTCGTAGCCGTGGTGGTCGTGGTGACCATGACCATCATCTTGAGGTCCAACGTATTCCATCTTGTAAACACTTCCACACTCGGGGCACCGCTCAATCGGTCGTTCACGGGTCATCTTGAGGTAAGGTAACACGTTAGCCAATCGCAAACGCAGTGAAGCATCCGGCAGTTAGAGATATCATGAAGCTTCTAGGCAAGTCAATATTGGGAGACATGGGACCTACACCGAGCCAAGTGACAATGTGAGAGTCAACGGGATAGCCAGTGCAACCGGCGAACTGCTCGTCACCAAAAGACTTAACCATGATGGGGTTGTCGAGGGTTCCTAGCCAACTTGTGAGTTCCAGTGCAACGATAGTAGCTTAAGTGGGAGGGTTAGCCGCACCTTTCCTCGAGGCGTCGAGGGGTCGCATGTCGAAGATGTCCACACCCTGCATCTTTCCTAGGAGTTCTAGACGCTCGAGACCGGTGGCCTGATCGAGATCGGTGGGGACGGTTCCAGGGGCGGCACCGGGACCAACAAGGTCCTCCTCGGTCTTGATCTCTGTTTAGAGTCACATAGCGTTAACAGAAGCAGCCCGATCTCAGAGCGCGTGTTAGGCCGAAAGCTCGAATCCTGTTGAGCGTGCGTACCATCAAAAGCCTTCACCTTTTGTGCGAGGTTCTGGGCAGGCTCGACATCCTTGACATTGCCTGTGTCAATGGGTAATCAGCGTCAGTTGATCCATTATTTTGGTTTCTGTTCTCCCGGCCAATGTCGGTTCGTCGGGTGTCAGGGAGTGGAGCGAGGCGGGCTCTTACGTCGGATGGCAGAGACGGCGAAGCTGCGGCGGAGGACGGGGCCGGCGGCAGCTCGACGAGCGACGGCAACGGCGGAGCGTTGGAGAAACATGGCGACGTCGAATGCGAATGGCGGCAATGCAAAGTCTGGAGGTTGCTGGGTGTTGTTGGTGCGGTAGGAGAGGTATATCGGAAGGTCGAATGAGCGAGGGATTTGCAGTGGTCTGATTTGACAATGCTGAGCTTCGGCCGGGTGGAGGAGGAGTCCAGAGGTCCTTTCCTAATCAAGGTTTTAGCCGACATTTTGACGGGTAGTGACATCCAACTCAATTGCTGGCTTAGGTAAGCTAAAGTATCTGGGCATCGAAATCACGTGATATATATATATATTGGTATCTGCTTCAGTCCCAATGCCTGGTCGGTTTGGGATAGCCTACGAAGTATGATTATTATTATTACTATGTATATGATCCGAGCTGGGCCACTCGGCGAGATGTAAGTAGGTGGCGTACATGTTGAAGGTCAGCGCAGCTTAACTCAATACTAGTACCAATGACCTAACGATACGGCCTGGGGGTGCTAAACCTTCTGGGGCAGTGACCCTGGAATAGGCCGCCGAGGTCTCTGGGGTTATTTCTCTTTTCTTGAAAAGTGAACATACAAATTGAAATGGAAGTGAGACTCTTTGAATTTGTTCTACTTGGATGATAACGCTAGAGAAGGACATTGCTTGAGTATATGATATGTAAAAGACCCCTGCACCTACCGACTGACGGGCTACTACTTGTAGCCTGTAGGTAGGTACCAGTCCAGTGTCTCTTCATTTATGCCGCAATCTGCGATGCGACGCCCTATGAACCAAGGCACACACACTTGATTGTTGGGCTGCGACGAGCTGCCGACTTAAACGAACAGTTCCGCTGTGGCGATGGCGAAAGTCATGTCCTTGGTGTCATATGAACGTAGATAACAAGGGGCAGTCTCACGCTTCGACCCCCTCCCTCTGTATCTTGAAGGCCTCTAGTATGATATCCCTCTGTTGTTTCGTCGTGTATGTGAGCTCTATATCGCCAATCTTCCCCGCCCTGGCTTGGTCCTCGGTAACCCAAACGAAATCCGCATGCTCCTCGGGATCAACTTTTACATCGTAGGCCTCGACGTCGACAACGAAAGAGTACTTACAGACGCACGCGGGGCGGCGGGTAAGAAAGGTGTAGCCCTCTCCAACCACCCCGCTTATGTAGCGCGCCCGTAGGCTTGTCTCCTCCCACAACTCACGCGCGACGGCTTCCAGGAGGGTCTCATCCTCGACGTCGGCGGCACCGCCTGGAACTTCCCAGCGCAGTGGATACGAGTCGTGGGGTGCACGTTGGACGAGGAGCAGTCTCCGCGCCTCGTCAAACACAAAGGCGCCGACGCAGACGCCCTGTAGCTTGATGCCGTGGGGCCTCGGAGAGGTCGCTAGGTATGCACTCAGCGAGACATTGAAATCAGCGAGTGATTGGGCAAAGTCAAAGGGAGGAGGAGGAAGAGGTATCTTCTCTGTTGATGAGACAGTGGTATCTGCTATTGCCGTTGTTGAAACTGGTGGTGATGTTATCGGTGTTTCCGGCAGTGTGGATGCCATTATTGATTGCCCGCCGGTGCGCTTCACGTCTTGAGAGGTTGAGGGAGTGAACTCTCTTCACTTCAGTTGCGTGTGTTATTATAACTTGGAAATATCCTGGCTATGTAGTTTGCAGGTGGTGTTTGGCACTTGAGCAAGCCGATCTTCATGTCTGCATATCGACGTGAGAATGACTCAACCAACTTACCCTGCCACTTAAACTGGATCCTCAGGTAGTTTCAGGCGCGCCTATTCTGACCACCGGCATGCGGTGGCTGCCTTACAATTAGACGCGAACCGCCGCCTCGAGATCGCCGGTTAGCGAAGTACAACCGACCGAGTTGGTGGTTAAGGATAATCGTCTAGCACACGAGAGTCACATGTACAATGTTGCCCAAGCACTCTCTTACTCCCTTTATATAGTACTAATGAATACTATATAATATATCTACTGCTGGGTAGCAACCTACCACAGCTGTGCGAGGTCCTGTATCTGGGTGCGGTATTCATCTAGGTTTTCTTCTAGGTATTCATCTGTCTTACCTACCTGTCAGCTGAAGCGATAGGCTAGGAAGGTAGGTAGTAAATGCCTAGGTACCCACCAAGCCAAGTAAAGAATGAAAGCCAGTAATATCAATATCCAACGAGATCATTGGGTAGGTAGGGAAATATCTAGGGAATATAATTCCCTAGAGAATATGCGTTTTCACGATCTATAAATTATAAAATATGCAGTGAGTCAGTAGGTAGTATGTGCATGCAATCTTGAGACGGCTGAAAACCCGCCCCTTGTACGTAGTGAGACAAGCGAGGGCTGATCCGAGCTTGATGAAACAGATGCCTCACATTTGACATACGACATGTACAGCTTAATAGGGCCATCTTTGCACCTGTGAATATGCCAGTCCATAAGATTATTAAACCCGTATGACCTCTGCACTAGTTGCCAACATCTGCCCCGTCATGTACCCCAATTGGCCAGAGCGAAGGCGCAGAATGAGTAGTCCAAGACTACCGTTGTCTGTCCAAGAACTTGGCATTCTATCTAGCTGTCTAGGCAGCTGATTCTGAACGCAGTCGAAATGCGCCGCGCAGGCTTGTGCCAAGAGCCACACGACTGTGTTCGTCCAGTTCCTGTGTCTGTGATGGTACAACGACCGTGACAGGGGTTGCGGTGAGCTGTGTTTCGAGGGGGTCCCCAACGGCAACGGCAACTCGCACGAGCAGACCTACCACTACTGTTTGATCTTCTGTATCCAACTATCTCTACTCGCGCCATTCGTTGTACGTTGTAATATCGTAAATTCTCGCTGTTCGCGATTCCTCATTCTCTCGCTGTCGTCCTTATTTCTTGTCTAATGGCCTTGCAGTGCTTGCCAACCCTCGTCTCTCCCCATCTAGTATAGACCTACCTGGACCAAACTAACTTCGTCGCCTTCGAGTCTTGGTATTTCTTGGAGAGTCCAAGCTGGATAGTTGGCGCCCTCGACCGCCTTCTCGTCGCTCTCGCATCGTTCGTCGCTTCATGCCGCACTATAACCTAGCAAGCCATATGTAGTGCCACTGTCTACTTGATTCTTCGATATCTACTCCGGTTCTCCTCCACCGCTTCCATTACGCCGGCTTCTATTTTACCATACTTCCCCTCTCCTCTTTCTATCCTTCTATTCTCATATTGTTGTATTATCACGCCTTCTTTTGTCGCTGTGTACACCCTAGCAATACCATCAGAGGAAGCTCATCCTATATTCATGTGTTCCACACGTCCCATCCTTCGCATGTGCTAGCCCGTTGGACCCGTGGACGGTCTCATATACATGAATAGTCAATTTCGGCCAACATCGTTTAAGGAATGTCATTTCGGCTACTCTCTTTCCTCTGCCTTGTCATAGCAGCTCCGTATGGCGACGCCTTGTCTCTTGAGCCCCGTAGCAATAACTACGTCAAGCTCCCCGTTGTTCATTCAACCAACAGACGAGTTTTTGCCAAAGTCTATGAGAATAAGCGAGATGTTGCCACTGTTCCCTTGGCAAAAAGGGCCGATGTAGCTTATTATGCCAAATGTGGGTGAGCCAACCTTCGATTGTTAAGTCATTGCTAACTCCTGGAAAGTAAACATTGGTACACCACCCCAAAGTGTATATGTTCAGTTAGACACAGGCTCCTTTGAGCTCTGGGTGAACCCGAACTGTACAAGTCTGCAAGGAACAACAGACGTGAGGTTTTGCAGAGCGATTGGTCATTACGAACCGTCCTCATCGTCGAGCGCTGTCGAGTTGACAACTACGAAGACACTGAGATACGGGATAGGGCAGGCTGCCATTCAGTATGTGATAGATAACGTTGGTCTTGCAGGCACAGGTACGAATCTAGCACTAAAATCTACGTGAAAGATCGCCCTGCTAACCATCATCATCATTATTAGATGCCCTCTTAGAAAACATCCAGTTTGGTGTTGCCCTCGACACTGTGGACGAGTTTTCTGGCATTCTGGGTATCGGTCATGGTATAAATGTGACTATACCATATAAAAACTTGATCGATCAGTTGGCAGACCAAGGGGTGACAGATACGAAAGCCTTTAGTCTCGCCTTAGGAAGTAAGAGCGAACAGGAAGGCGTGATTATATTTGGCGGCTTAGACACATCAAAGTTCACGGGGACCCTCCAGACACAACCCATAATTGAGGGCCCCGATGGCGTTCCGCGATAGTAAGTGGTACAATTGAATTATGCCCCATAATGAGTTACGATTTGAGCACTATGAAAACCGTCATGAATTTCATCACCCCTTCAACCAATATTTTCCCTAACCATCATACGCCTATAGTTGGATCCAGATGCAGTCATTGAGTATCACGCCACCGGGTAGCCAAACAAAACAGTATTCTAATACTTCCATGGCCGTCTTTCTTGACAGCGGGGCTACATTAACTCTTCTTCCCACAAGATTAGCCAACGAAATTGCTGCCGATTTTGGTGCCGAGGCGACGAATGCGAACGGATTCTACCTCGTTGACTGCAAGTTCAATAACCAGTCTGGGACGCTTAGTTTTGCCTTCGATGGCGTTACTATTCGTGTGCCGTATCGGGAGATAGTCCGAGAGATTCGGACTGCGTTTGGTACGCAGTGTTACCTGGGCATAAGTCCTAGCGAGGATTTTGCACTCCTAGGCGACACAATGCTGCGATCTGCTTATGGTCAGTTCACTCTGCTCTTCTCATCATGCCCCTCCCACATCGTGTTCTGGCGGAAGTCTCATTCTTTCCACAGCTGTCTTCGACCAGACCAATAATGCTATTCATCTGGCCCAGTATTCAAATTGCGGATCGAATGAGAGGGAGATCACGGCTCAAATGAGTTTGGGTAAGATTACTGGTGATTGCCAAGCGCCTGATCTCGAGGCTGCTGACGCGAGCTCGAACCCGGTGTCCTCGGGGGGAGGTTCAGGGACTGGGTCAAGTGATTCTGGAGATGCAGAGTCCCGCGCATCAATGTGGGAAACCTCGGGTCTCCAAAAGTGGTTCACAGTATGGGTAATGATTTATGCTATAGATTTTATGGTTGGCTTGGTTATATAGAGTTGAGTACTGTTCGATGGCAGTTCGCATACTCATGGAAGGCGGTGTTCCGGGACACAGAAGTTAGATCCCATTATCGAACCCGGGATTTTCGAATTCTGAATCTAATATGGATTCTCGTTCACAGCCCATCCTGTCCAGTGTGCTGTTCGATACAGGTGTCTATATGAAATTCCCCAAGGGAGTGAAATGTTGTAAGTGTTGTGCTACCTACCCTGCTATGTTCTGAATTCTCTTAAAGGTACAGGTTGGATACCCTTCCTGCCAATGCTCACCACAGTCTAAACATCCTCTCTAAGATCATTCCGTTACATCTTCGGTGTGCTGGTGATCGAATGCTGCTAGGATTTCATTATCGTGTACCTCAAATCTTAGACACGACTGCACATGCCCTAGGTTCTAGTCCTAGGGGTTTTCCTGCTGCAATTGAATCTACACGCCAACCTGATACTGGCCCCATTCAATTTATTCATCAGGTTGGCGTCGACTTGACACGTGAATGACCAAGTTGGGACCCGACCCCAATCTCCAAACCCAGCGTTTCATCAACCCTCTTGGGGATACTCTTTCCAAGGTTGAATTGAACAGTCCTTGCATACACGCAGGTGTCACGGGAGTTGCGACATGATATCCCTGTGCTGATAATGTCAACACCTACAAGTACGCTGTCATAACTGAACAACGTGGTATCCAATGGGCTACAATGCCGCATTGTGTCTCACATGTTTGATATTGAGCCTTCTGTCCTGGCGCATTTAACAGCACCTACTGATGAAGATGAAACATTGAAAAGATGTGAATTGCCAGGCGAGACGCGAGTAGAGGGCTTAAACTGACTGAGTGTTAATTTGGTATCAAGAAATCCCCTACAATTCTCTCAATTAAGCATGCTGCGCCTTACAATCCCAACTCCAACCACTCCCCATTGCGGTTCCCATGCCGCAACCAGAAAACAACCGTAAGCGCTCCCTCCATGCCTTGCCTGTTTCAGATAAGGATAGCTCATTTTATCGACTTCCGCGGCCGGAACACGCAATGGACCGCTCCCGGTTGACAGGTGACCTGGTCTCTCATATCGCGCCATATGGTTTCCTCGTCGTAGCCAGGAGCAAAACCGACATCGTAGTCCTGGAGTATGATCGTCACAACGAGGCGTAGCCCATTCATGGCCATATTCTTGCCTAGACAGTACCGGGCGCCAGTAGAGAATGGCGCAAATGCTCGCTTGTCGACGATGAGTTCTGGACGTGAGTACCACCGTTCGGGAATGAAGTCATTCGGCTGCACCCACATGGATTCCACTGCAACTGTGTCAGAGAAATGCGCACGCAAACAATTGCAAGTAACAATTCAGGGCGATGCTGTCGAACTGAACCATACACGGCGCACACTTACTTCTGTGGAGAACGTATTTCGGGCATGTTACTTTTACCCCTGGGGGGATCAGCACATCATCGATCAACATTCCGTTCGGACCTGTGATTCTGTTGCCTCCCGTCATGACTGGCGGGACAAGCCGGAGGGCTTCGTTCACTACGCCGTTAAGATGAGGGAGCGCGGCAAGGGCATTCGCGTCGTTTGGATCGATACTATCCACCTCGGCTTGGACCTTTTTGGCGTGTTCTGGGTACTTTGATAGGAACCACCAGACACCGATGAGAACAGCACGCGTAGTATCACTGACGAGTAGTTAGAACCCCTGGAATAATACTTCCATGGCCCGCGTAGTGAGAGCATCAACGAACCTTCCTGCGACAACGGCTGTCACCGCTGTGCCGGCGAGATGGAGATCCCTAGTCTTTTTAGTTTTGGTTGCTGCTGTATTTTGGTATTCTTCGATGAAGTATTGGGCCATGTCTGTCTTGCCATTGCCACCACGCTAGACCAGATAGTTGGTCAGATACTGCGGCTCCATCCATTGTTCAGTAGCAATGCATGAGAATTAACATACTTCAAGACGCAATTTCATGTGATCTTCGCAGAACTGTATCATGCGGCGCCAGTCATTGACTCTTCCAACGGGCGGGAGAAGCTGGAATCCGAGGAGGGCGATCCATATAGCATCACCGAGAGGTCCCGCCAAAGCCAAAGCACGATCCCGGTGTTTGATACCGGGGTGTGTCACTCGCGATTTAGTTAGGTTAAAGTCCTCGCCGAAGAGCACCTCTCCCATGACATCCCATGAATACCACGACATGACCTGGTCGATGTCTACGGGCCTGTCACCAAACGAGCCGATGCAACGCGAGAGCTCCCGGACAAGACTGGCAATGCGAGGGTAATAATCGTTCATCGCTGTTGGCCAAACCTTGTTAGTTACGAATGGACTCGAGCTTTCCATGACCAAGCTACTCGAGATATGCCGATACGAAATAGCTGACGGAAGCATTGAACTCACTCACCTTGGCTCGACAAACCTTGCGCCCAGAATTTACGACCTACCTTATGCTCCATCTTGTCGCGAGTGAAGATGGCAGAAGTTCTTGGCCGAACGATGTCATACCAGACGTCTCTTGTCGTCTCGTTCTTGAAACCATCGAGTAGGTCGAAGGCAGCAGGGTGGAAAAGCGTGATCTCATTTGGTCCTTGAATGTGTAAAAGCTTAGCCTGGCAATTCTCATGACGGGCATGGGTTCTTTAATTCAAATTCCATATCTTCTGTCTCGGAACATACCGGTGGGAAGGCAAGACTACTCACCTGTTCTCACGATTGTGCCGTATTTCTCATATATTTTCTGTTGGAATAAATAATTCGTCGAGTCCTTCACCTGCCAGACATGCCACAGCTTGGTGATGGCAGCAAGCCTGGGACCGCGGAAGCGAGAAAGGCGATGAAAGTAGAGACGGTATATGGTCATGCTAGAGAATAGACCACCCAGGTATGCCGTAGCCAGAACGGCGAGGCGGCCGAGGACAGCAGTGAGAGCATCGTCAAAGTAGCTGAGGTAATACGCAGTGGCGGCGCCGAGGACGAGATGAGCAGCAATGATGTGCGGGCCGTGCAAATGCCACTCGCCATTTCTAAAGACGCCGTGGTGTGCGGCGACACCGGCCGCGATGGCGAGGATGGGTAGATGCTGTTGCTGGCCTTGACCCACGGCCATAATGTTCCCAATTCCGCTGGTTGTGTCGTTTGCCAACTCTCGGAAAATTCAGCGCTTGGGGGCAAACAACAGAAAAGAAGGTCGTCACGGATAGAGAATAGCGAGATGGCGAGGCGAAACAATGGGTATTGTACTACTAGGTATTCCTTTTCGCGTGCCACCTACTCGCCTACTCAAGCTATCTGTACTCGCCCCTTCATGCGGCGCACCCATACTACTACCCTAATTACCTACTTGCAGGATAGCGGATGCATGATGCAGGGGTCTGGGGTCCCTTTTTGGCGGTTGGGGGTCCCGGACACCCCTGGTTTTGTGGTGTCATGTCTCCGAAACGAGATGCCAAACCCCCTCTTTCTCGAGTTGCAGATAAGAAGACAATTCCCGCGATGAACGTGGGCTGTCTGTCCGTCCACTACCGGCCGGGGCCACGGGCACGTACAGACTTCCTTACTGAGTAAGTAAGCAGAGTAGGCAAGCGAGCAGCGATCGCCGGGGTGGGTGTGGCCCGCTTGACTAAGACGGATTGTGTAGATTGACCGGACCTACTACATTCCTAGCGAGGGAACGTACATGTACTACTGCTGTAGGTCATCTTGGCTTTCTCTCTGGTCCGCTGCCTCGGGACCGCACCAAGTTCGGCCCGCTGTGGTGTGGCATGTGTGATGTTTGTTCGCGTCGACATTTGGGGAGTTTGAAGTCGAGAGACACACCTCACTGCATGGCAGTGAAATCTGTCGTGCTGCGTATGCACTATCGCCCTTTTTTTGCATGGGGCTTGTGGCATCTCCTTCAAGAGGTTAGGCGCCGGTATCATAGTCCAACTCGCGCATCAAACTAGTATACTAGGAGGGTACTAGTAAGGACATACTATTTACACATGGAAGAGCTTCGGATTAGCTTGACTATCCCAGACTTGTGCTGCGCTATGCCATATCTGCTTGCACTTACCGACATGCTGCTCTTGAAGACTTGCCGTTCCGATTTTCTCTCGCGGGGGAACTACTTAGACAGGAAAAAACATGTGAGCATATTCGTCAGCCCGTCTCAGCTGATCACCGAAATTCTGTATCCTACCGGCTTATAACAGATGTAGCAGTGTGGCATGCGTCAAGCAGGCCCGCTTTGGATACCCAAGCGGATGGATTTGAGGCAGTTATTCACCAACAATGACGTCTAATCGATATTATCACTCGATCCTCCAATCAGACAGCTTGCGTATCAAATGGGAAGAGGAGCTGTTATGGACCAATTGCCTCCACCTACATCTCGACGTCCATCGGTACGTTATATGTACGCAGGGTAATATATACTCCAACAGTGCTTCAAGCAGAGCCCCAACGTGGTTGTCTGTGTTATCGAAACGATAAGAGGGACCGATCCACGCTCTTCCTTGTGAACAGAAATACTTCAGAGATTAGTCCAGACGCCACACCAACAAACCCGGGGACGTTGACTATCCAAATATGGTATGTGCCTTTCATCAGCGTAGGGTCTCGGCCCAACCCAATTTCGTCTGGAAATAGTCATGTGATGCATATGCATGCATGAGGAAGATTGAGACTCTTGACAAAGTGTATATAATCCTGGGTAGAATGCTCCTTGGCCTTACTGACAGAGAAGCTTCAAGTGTGACATACTATCAATAGCACTGCTTTGCATCTCCTACCTCAAAGTTTAAATTTCAATGTCGAGGAAGCCAATGTCCACCGGTACTCTAGAAATGCAACTTTGAGGCACAGCTCAATGTGTTGTCATTATAGTTGCTTCGGAGTCCAGCGTTCGTGTGTCCTGGTGACAAATATTACATACTTACATAGATTTCGAACTATCCATACATTGTGTGCCGGGGATACAACCAAGCACATCTTCAATTTCTAGTTATCGCGAACTCTTCGCAGATAGCTTTGTTTATTATACGAGTCGTTAATGTTTCTTGAAATCAATCATCGAAGACTACCTACCCATGCTCTCGGAGGTTTCAGCTGTCCCCTACTAATAGGGTTGCGGGGAAATGAGGAGATAGCAAGAAACAATGTGGGCGTCAGACCAGTGCACCATATCTGAGCATTATTGCCTTAAACTATAAAGCTTGTATGTCGGTCGCCGGGAGTGTTGAATTCACACAAAACCAGCCTGTCGGTAAGTGGCCCGCAACTACACCGTGGGGGAAATAATATACCTTACGTGTAGAAGCAGTCAGAGAGTATAATGCCATTAATTTAAAGGCTAAGCATTACTCATCCTTCTTCGATATCTTTTCCAGTAAGTTAGATATTTGTAGGGTGCATCTTTGCACCGTCCCTCTCAACTTTTATGTAGTGAGCGCGAACACACTAGACTAGGTTGGTGTCAAATAGTGTCTATGCTTTGGTTTGTATGTTTCACTCACGAAACGCTGCCAAGCCTCTTCATGATACAGCTTGGCTTCGGAGAATGCCTGCCCAATAAGTTCCTGGCCATGGTATGGTTCCCCTCAGGCATGCATCGCCGTGTCAACTCTGGTACTTGACAAGCCAAGCTGTCTCAATATGTCTTTCACTATTTATATTTAGAATTAGAACTAGACTGCCTTGGCAGTCATTGGTCGTTTTGCTATTATAGGGCTAAGATGGACCTAGCAGCCTCTTGAGCAATTGATTAGGTATCGAATGGATCGCAGCTCTGCCCATTCTACAAAATTTTCACCAGGTTCTCGACAGTAGAAGTGGGATGGGCGTCTTTTTCTCCCTCCTGTGATCTTTTGAGTAGATTGCGCTCACGTAGTCACTGTTCAAGTGATATAGCCCGATGGCCAAGCGAGAACCCTGCCAGGGACAGCTACCCACGGGACTTCGTCATCAACTTATAAAGCGAGGTATATACGCGCACTGGAGGTTTTAATGGCATAGCTGACGACAGTCGTTGCAGATCACAGCACCCTAGTTGATCCAAACCCCCTGTAGCATTCGGCGACTTGCCAATCACACATCTGAGGGTCCCTCCGTAACGGCTCGGCGGTTCTGTGACACGTTTCGACAGTCTACCGGCGGGATGGTCATCCCGGGACGAGCGAGATGCCGCGTTTAAGCTTTCGAGTCCTGGCATAGGTGCGCTCAATATAGGTCTTAATCCTGCACTTTGCCATGGCTAGTTGATGGGTATATAATAGGTTCCATTTGCCTTGCCTTCACACAGGTTGCGCTCCTTGTTACTATTCTCATTCTTTCATTGTTGTGCACTGGTGCACTATTCATTACATCCTGTTGCTCTTGACTATACCTGACCACCGTCACCACACCCTTAAACAAGCACTATTGAAATATTACAAGCACCTCAGCTAATCAACAATTACCCATCCAATCCACCAGAAGAAGAAACATAAGAGCACAATGAAGCCAACCGCCGCAGTCATCTTAAGCATTTTTGCCACCTTCGCAGCCACTCTCCCGCTAAACATCAATCTCGGCGCGTATTCCCCTGCGTTAGTGGTCGGTGATGGAGCTATAGGATTTAACGGTGGGGAAGAAGAGGCGGGAACAGCCCCAGCAGCAAGAGGCATAATATCCGAGTAGATGTTTCCAGCACTGAAGAGTAAGTACATATATGATGGATATGAAAAGGCTTCTTGACTAAGTCACGTATTATAGAATCCTGATGTGAGATGAGCATTGACATACTGGAGAAAAGCGAGGCCATATTCAGAGCACACAGGCATATGAATCACGCAGTTAATCCCACCAGGCTTGCAAATTACTCGTAGAGGTATCGAATGAGCAAGAAGACTACGTTGGTGTGGCCGCGGCTATTGTGTCAATGGCAGGAGGAAACCACACGTTAACCTCGGAAACTAATGAAGGGCTGAGCTCGTATAGCGACTGGTCAGGAATCGCGCAACAGGATAGGTCCCGTGGCATAGGCATATTCTACTTCAGTATCGTACTACAAGGGGGGGGGGGGTCAGTAAATTCAGTGTTTTAATAGACAGAATGAAGTGGCGCATAGGTATGAACATGAAACAATACAGTTGAAAGTGATAGCATAGCAAGATACAATAAGCCGATGTCGCCCACGCCAGTAATCGTACAATACGGAATTCCATCATTGTGGACCTTATTAATTTAACTATAAATATAGACGTGTTTTTAAAACGAAGAATAATAAATATAGGTTATATATAATTTAGATAGCCGATGACTCACCGAGTGCCTTGATCCATGACGAGAGCTGGTGTTGAGACTCGCCAGCATAATCAACCATGAAATTCGATGAGGACTAGAGGAATAGTGTTCGGCACCCCAGTGACAGTAACATTAGAGTGTCACCTCACATCATGCCAACATCACAGTGTCTTACCCTAAGACCTCCAGGCTTGGACACAAAGCACAAACAGACCACAGTAACAGAGATTATTATAAGTCTTACATTATACAAATATAGCCACTTTATTCTGCTATCTTGCCGCCATTTTGATACCTAGTTTGTTTTCATGAGACATTGTAAGACTGAGCGGGTACCTGATCTGTTCTTGTCAATACCAACTGGACTCAGGGGGAATGGCAATGATATGGGACCCCAGGAAAACACCAGTTAATGGAAGATAAGACTTAATGCGGGTTTCATTCAGATTAAATTGTACGCCCGGAAATCCTCCCCATTGATGTCAGCAACGACCTCACCATCCACAATTCTATGTAGAATCTAGATAGACATCCCCGATTGGGTAATAAGCACTCACGATGCCTGAGCTCTTACCTGTTCGCTTAGATGTTGTGCTGGCGTCTCTTAGGATGAGTGGTAAGTGCCCGCCAGAAAGAACAAAAATCATGTCTGTCACCCTCATTGGCGTTATCGGGAGCGAGAGCAAAAGAGCCCTTCTTTGAGAGGAAAGATCGTCTGTCTAAGATAGACAGGGAGACTGGTTGGCCAAACATATTGCCCCTTACGTTGTCTTGGAATTTCACCACAAAGCTGGTCGTGCTTTGGCCCCCAATACAAAAAAAGTTGGTGCGTTAACCACTTGATAATTTAATAACTTGACCAGCAGGGTTAGTAATTAGTTAGACTAAAGTGACTAAATGAGTGATTAAGACTAATTTAATTATAACTAAGACTAAATTAATCTTTAATTAAATTAAGGATTAAAGA